AGCATCCTGAGAAGAAAGCTAAATAGTCTTTTCCTGCTTGAAAAGACAATTTGGGGACCTTTGGGGAGCCTTCATCTCTCTGCGGTGGGACACAGCCTTGAGGGAAGGAGCAGGGAATGCTTGGACTTCGCCCTAATTTCAGCATTGAGGAAAGCTGGGATCTTTCCGTCAAGGAAAGGCTGCTCCCTGCAGGCTGTGAAACAGCGCGAGACGCCTGGGCTGGGTCTTGTGCAAGGTCCAAAAGCCCAAACCCAGGAGGTCCCTCAAGGGGTGGCCGACAATTTAATGAAATTCTTTTGTTAGTATCATATCTATCTTTATTAGCAACAAATAAAACCCCTTGGAAAAGATTGGGATGGGCAAATCAAACAGCGGATTTGGGAGTGGAGTAAGTGGGGTGTGGCAAGACTCCTGGGTCTGGCTTGTTTTGGGGAGGGTTTGGGACCCCCCACTTTGCCACGGCAGTGACGTCGAGCAGTCCCAGGGCTGCCGTGGCATTCCTTTGCCTTTATAATTGCCTTTCACACCTTGTAATTGCAAGGTAAGAGCATGGAAGAAGTGGAGAAGTTCCCTCTTGAGAGCATCTTCCACAGGCAAATGACTTGGATCCCCCTTCTGTTGGGAATTATTTAGATCTCAATTTAAAAAAAATTATAGATATCCCCACTTCCATCCCATTACTGGCACAAAAGGGATAAAATTCACCTGGAAAAGGGTTTTTTTTCCCCATCTTCGGATCGTTATTTCACCGGAGGCCAATGCATGTTGTATTCAGGGGGAGAAACGTAATGGTCCGCCCATAAATCTCAAGTGGATGCTGAGTCAGCGTTTCCACCCACCGCTGGGTCATTCCATATGAATTAGATCATTATTAATGCTCTAATTCCCCAGCGTGCACAACCAAAAGGGCAACAGGGGCGGTGTGGGGGGGTGAATTTCTGCTTGTAAATCTCTGAATTTTAAGGTTGGAGAAGATGGATTCCTGCGGATAAAGCGGATGCTCTGGGAGGTCAAAAAATGCGCCGAGAGAAGAGCAGGATGGGATGAGGTTTGTTGGCTTGGTGTTGAATGGGAGGAGAAGAGCAGGATGGGATGAGGTTTGCTGGCTTGGTTGAACGGGCGGAGGAGAGCAGGATGGGATGAGGTTTGCTGGCTTGGTTGAACGGGCGGAGGAGAGCAGGATGGGATGAGGTTTGCTGGCTTGGTTGAACGGGCGGAGAAGAGCAGGATGGGATGAGGTTTGCTGGCTTGGTTGAACAGGCAGAGAAGAGCAGGATGGGATGAGGTTTGTCGGCTTGGTTGAACGGGCAGAGAAGAGCAGGATGGGATGAGGTTTGCTGGCTTGGTTGAACGGGCGGAGAAGAGCGGGATGGGATGAGGTTTGTTGGCTTGGTTGAACAGGCAGAGAAGAGCGGGATGGGATGAGGTTTGCTGGCTTGGTTGAACGGGCGGAGAAGAGCGGGATGGGATGAGGTTTGTTGGCTTGGTTGAACAGGCAGAGAAGAGCGGGATGGGATGAGGTTTGTTGGCTTGGTTGAACGGGCAGAGAAGAGCGGGATGGGATGAGGTTTG